GCATTCAAACACATCAATTCTTTGATCTTCCTTATACATTGTACATCTTTCATATGTGTTTGATGTGATTGAAATTATCTCAGTCACCCAATTTAAAACGACATCCTTAATACTTTGAAAGAGGTCTTTTGAAGCAAAATTTCCAAGTGTATACGTCATTTGGATTCTTGGCTGCTGCTTGCGTGGGCATTGATTGTAGATACTAGTAAAATGAAATCCTTGACAACGTCTATCTTTTCTCCATTTTTCATGGGGTTGTTTAGTTGTGAGGATTTTTGTTTTCTTTATGTTGAAGTGTAAGACATCCTTTGATCTTTATCAGAAAGTGCCTCAAATCCATATTTGTGATCATTAGAAAGGTGGCCCTAGAGAATGCGGAAATTATCAAACAATATCATGAATAGTACAGGCAAGTTAAACTTTGCTGACGATAAGTCAAAGCACGTCGATGGAGCTGCTGCAAATTCAAATTGGACTCAGAAGAGGACTTGGAACAAGGTATATGTGAGTCTGTATAGCATTTTCAAGGAGCAATTGGTGGATTTGAACTGCTGACCTTGTGGTTAGCAGTCCATTGCTTGTCCTGCAGCACCACACCAGTATTCAATCTGCATACTGAGCAAATAATCCAAGAAGCTGGATTAGATGAAGAAAAATGTGGCATCAGGATTGGAAAAAAACCTCATTAACAACCTGTGACACGTAGGTGACACAACTTTGTTGAAAGTAAAGAGAACTTGAAGCATTCTCTGCTGAAGATTAAAGAATACAGTCTTTGGTTTGGATTGTGACTCAATGTAAAGAAAACAGATCTCCTCACAAATCTGATTTCTTAGTGACGGCTGCTTCCATGAGTATTCATTATGCATCCAAGTAAAATGAAATCCTAGACATCAATAGTTTTTCTGTGTATGCTCTCTAACGAACAAACAGAAACAATGAATGGAAAAAGCCAGGGCAGGGGGCAGACCCAGAGAGGAGAAAATTCTGGGCTCACCTGTCAGCCAGGGACCTGACGTGCTGGGTGGGCAAGGGATGGAACAGTGGCGCTCTGGCCATAGATGGAGTTTCTGTAGGGTTAGGTAGTGTCTGTTTGAGGACAAGGGTGCTCAAACTGGAAGAAGTTCATGCAGACCCCAAAACAGCCGATGGGTCAGGGTCTTTCTCTCCCAGTGGTTTGGGTCATTAGAGAACATAAACAGAGAAATTACTGAAATTGTCAAGGATTTCATTTACTTGGATCCATTATCAATACTCATGGAAGCAGCCGTCAAGAAATCAAAACGATGTAATACATTGATCTGTTGCAGAAAAGATGTCAGTTAAAGACTAAGGAGCTCCTGACCTAAACGCTGGTCTTTTCAATAGCGTTATGCACATGTGAAATTTGGACAATGAATCAGGAAGACCAGAGAAGAAGTAATGCATTTAAATTATGGTGTTGGCAAAGAATATTGAAAGTACCATGGGCTTTCAGAACAAGCACATCTGTATGGGAAGAAATATAGCCAGGATAGGATATTCTTTAAAAGCAAGAAGGATAGACTTTGTCTACTGAACTTGAGACATGTTGTCAGGAGGGATCAGTCCTTGGAAAAGTACATTGTTGTCGTTGTTGTTGTTTAGTGCTGTCGAGTCAGTTCTGACTCATAGTGACCCTGTGTAGAGTTTACAAGGGGCAACTGGTGAAGTTGAACTGCCGACTTTGTCATCCAGTGCCTACTTCAGAAAAGTACATTATGCTGGGTAAAGTAGAGCATTAGTGAAAAAGGCGAGACTCTCAGCAAGTTGTACTAACACAGTGGCTTCAACAGTGGGCTCAACATATGACAGTGTGAATATGGTGCAGGTTTGAGCAGGATTTCATTTTGTTGTAAATGGAAATAGACTGATTTAGTAACAACAGCAACATTATCATAAAAGTTCAAGAATAAATTTACAGATATATGGAAAAATGGTGGACTGGTCAAAGATACTACATAACCTCTCTACACCAAAGATAAGGAAAATCAAACAAAACTGTCCTGGAGCCCCAAGCTTCAGAAGGACTGGAGAAATGGATTGAATACTCAATCTGAGAGGAAGATGAGCAGCTGCTGCAAAATCAATAAAGAGGCAGTCAGGTGATCTGAGCAGGACGGCCATCTTAAACTTTCCCCAGCAGCTTCAGAGACAAAACAACAGCCCCCACCTGCATACACCCCATTGAAGTTCCCACTTTCCCCGTTTTTGGAGCCACACAATGGTGAGCAGTGGAACTGTGAGCCCCATCGAGGAGATGGGGGAGGTATCCACACCAAACCCAGTGCCTGGATTCATGTGAGCTCTGCACCAAACCTATGGAGTTGGCCTTGGTCAGCCGGGGACTAGGCGAAGCAGCTGAACAGACATGTGAGTTGGGAGGCATGGGAGAGTGGCGGGAAGGAGGAGGGTAATTGTGTCAACTGGCCAGGCACCATCTGGCCATCTTGACCTTTTGCCAGTGGCTTTGAAGAGAGAGAGCAGTTGGTGCAAACGTATACCCCTTACTGGCAAGGAGACAGGTGCGAGAATTCTTCATGTGCACCACATTACGCTGGTGATTAGAAACATGGCCGGCCCCCACTCACATATCCTCCCAGCAAAGCTCCTGCTTTCTGGGCAGTTGGTGCTGCAGCAAAGTGAGTTGGGAGCTAGCAGCAACAGCTCTGGCACTTGGAGTCAGATGTGGCCTGCTCCGGACTTGCAGAGCTGGTTCTGGCCAGCCCTGAACTAGTGGGACCCTTCACCCTTGACTGCCCGCTGGGAGAGAAAGACCCTGACCCCCCCAGCTGCTTTGGGGTCTGCATGAACTACTTCCAGATTGAGCACCCTAGTCCTCAAACACACACTACCTAACTCTACTGAAAGTCCATCGAGGGCCAGAACACCACTGTTCCATCCCTTACCCACCCACAGCATGAGGTCCCTGGCTGAAGGGCGACCTCAGAATTTTCTCCTCTCAGTCTGGCACCTGTCCTGACCTTTTCCATTCATTATTTCTGTTTGTTTGTTCTTTCTTCCCCTTCTTCCTCCCTTTCCCTACCCTTGCTTTTTTATTGTTTCTAAATTCAGTTTCTTTCTTTTTATCTACTTCTCTTCCAAAAATGCTGATACTTCTTTATTTTCTTTTTGTAAAGTCTTGGTTTTTCTTTACTACTCTTGGATCTCTTTCCCTTTTATTTATCCTCCTTCTTAATTGTGTTTAGTTTTTTTTTCTTTTCTTTTCTTTTCTGGGTTTTTTTTTTTTCCCTCTCCCTCTTGTCTATTTTTGGGTTTTATATTATTTTTCTGTTTGTTGCATGCTAAAAAATTAGAAATCAACAATAGGAAGGCCAAGGGAAAAAAAATAAAATACATAGATATTGAATCATACATCGCATAAAAGCTACTAGATGAGACACTTGAGTGGAATAGAAAGAAATATCGGAAAACATGATTACAGAACTCTTGTAAGCCTGTCTTCAGCCTATAAGTGATTGGAATACCTAAAAGGGGTTCTAGAACTTGTCTAGTGAAATACGCTTCCAGCAGAGCAGCCTGGAACAGCTAGAAGAACAGAAGATACTTCTTGAAAGAAAGACCAGCAGGAAAAATCAAAAATAAAAATGGCAGTCTGACTGTTTGCTACAAAAACAAGCAAGTTGTTCGCAGGAATCAAGTCCCTTCAGGACAAATCCCCATCCAAGACTGAAACTCAAAGGGAATACATGAGTAGGCAAATAAACTTGCTGGCAACCATGTTGGTTTCCTGGTGAGTGGAAGAGGAGGAAAGGCAGCAATGAAGATATGGGCCAAGTTCGACCACATTCCGTAGACTCCCATCAACCTGGAGATGAGAGAGAGAAGAGGAAGGGCTGATTGGTCCAAAGTTTGGTGAGACCTGGGGACACCTAAGTCCATGGACAAGGACATAGCCAAGGAGCGTTAGAGCTGAGAGTGAAGCATCCAGCTGATATGAAGTAATGGGAGATACACAAGAATGCTCAAACTTGTAGATAGTACCCATATTACCTAGCTTCAAAGACTTGATGATCAGAACTCAACTAGATAAATAGAAGATAAAGATAATTAGAATATAAAGAAATTTGATAAAGGAAACAAGTGTAAATTGTTACAATTTGATGAACTTGACCTATGGATGTAGTAGTTCAAAATACTAACTGAAAGCAAAGGAGTCTTTGCTATCCCCTCTGTGTACAGGGTTGATAGGGATGGATAACTTAGACATTGGTTACCTAAAATGGGGGAGGGGAGCTATAAAGGCACAAAGTGACTGGCTTACAAGTTTTCAAGAAGGAGTTTAATTTCATTGTGTGCAGGGAAAGGCAGAATCTCCACTGAAAAGTTTTCACCTTGTCTAGACGGGTCTGATGAAAAGAGATGGGGATAACATTCTTATGATTCAGTAGTGAATAATTGTTGTCATGACTAATTGTGACTGTCACAAATGTAAAAGTAGATTTTTTATAACAAAAAGTGGGGAGTAATTTATCTTGCAGTCCAATAACAGAGGACCCCAGGACCATGAAGGGAAAAGAGCAAAGCAGAATATGGACCCTATCCAGAGAAGCAGTGACACCAGGGATGGAGACAAAGTTGAGGGCATGAAGAAATAGAGCAGCTGAGGACTCTAGATTCATGGACAGAAAGTCTGTGTGATAGTGGCCAGGTGTTGGTGGCCAGGAGGCAGGCTTGCAGAATGTGCCCTGTGGTTGTTTAAATAAATGATTATATATTCCTGAGTGTTTTTGTGTGTATCCTCCCTCAAAAACAGAGGGAATAGAAGCAAATACTGTTGAATGATGATGTACAAAGAAAATTGTAATCATTGCAATGAAATGGTAAGTGTAAAACTGATGTTCCCCATTAAACTCTCTCAATTCACAAGAAAAACTTTTTTTTTTAAGGTATTAGGTGATACAACAAATAAAAAATGAAATTTAAAAAAATTTTTGAGACCGGGACAAGGTTAGTGAGGGGACCTCGTCTGGGTCCGGGTTACAGCCATCATGCCGGGAATAGTGGAGCTGCCCACTCTGGAGGAGCTGAAAGTGCAGGAGATGAAAGTCAGTTCTGCTGTCCTTAAAGCTGCAGCTCACCACTATGGTGCTCAGTGCGACAAGGCCAACAAGGAGTTCATGCTCTGCCGCTGGGAGGAGAAAGATCCAAGACGGTGTTTAGAGGAAGGCAAGCTTGTCATCAAGTGTGCTTTGGACTTCTTTAGGCAGATAAAGCGTCACTGTGCGGAGCCTTTTACAGAATATTGGATCTGCATTGATTATTCTGGCCTACAGTTATTTAGTCACTGTCGCAAACAGCAGGCAAAGTTTGATGAGTGTGTGCTGGACAAACTGGGCTGGGTGTGCCCTCACCTAGGAGAACCGTCAAAGGTCACAAAAGTGAAAACAAATCGGCCTTTACCTGAGAATCCTTACCACTCAAGACCAAGACCAGAGCCCAACCCTGAGATAGAAGGAAATTTGAAGCCTGCCAAACATGGCAGCCGCCTTTCTTTCTGGACCACGTAAAGATGGGTCCATGGCCCATGCTCAGTCACATGCCCAGACAACAACTGATGAAAACTCTGGTGCAATTTGTATTGTCTGATAGTGTGTTCTTTCTGGGATCACGCACAGAAAAGTTAATTTATGTGGCATGACAGTTACTCTATACCATTTCCTTGCCATTAAAAATTTTAAAGGAAAAAAAAAATTTCTTTGAACCAATTAAGAACAATGACAGAACATACGAAAGCCTTTGGGACATATCAGAAGTCGTGTGTAGAGGGCCATTTATAGAAATAAATGCACACATCCAAAAGAAGAAAAAACACATCAATGCAACATCTCCAACAATTAGAAAAAGACCAGCAACGGAGGTGTACAACTCCAGAAGGAAAGGAATAATAATGATTCAAGCAGAAATAAATGAAACAAAACCCGAAAAACAACAGAAAACATCAACAATACTAAAAGTTGTTTTGTTGAAAGAATAAGCCCTCAATAGCAGAAGAAGCTAAACAGACATGAGGGATAAAAAAGAGAAAGAGAGACAGGTAACTTGTGCTGGCCAGACAGGTGCTGAATGACCATTTTGAACTTTTTAGAAGATGCTTTTTAAAGGCAGAGGGCAGCTCCGTGGCATACCACACAAATACAACAAAGGAAGAGAACCACGTTATCATATTCATTGACACAGAAAAGGCATTTGACAAATCCAACATTCATTCCTGATTAAAAAATAGGAACAGAAGGGAAATTCCTTAACAAATTAAAGGCATGTATCAAATCCAACAGCCAGCATTACTGTCAATGACTTGAAACTGAAAACATTCCCTTTGTGAACAGGAACCATATGAGGATGCCCTTTGTCACCACTCTAGACTGTGAACCACCAGGTTGGCAGTTCAGACCCACAAGCTGCATCTCAGAAATGCTATACAGGGTAGCTGTAAGTCAGAAATGACTCAACGGTGCTTAGCAATAAACAACGCAACAGTTCGATGTTGTGTTAGAAGTCTTAGCCAGAGCTATAAGGCATGAAAGGGAAATTAAAGGCATCCAAATTGGCAAACAAGAAGTAAAACTCTCTCTATTTGAAAATGATATGATTCTACACAATGAAAATCCCAAGGACACAGAAAGAAAATTATTGGAACTCATTGAAAGATTCAGCAAAGTAGCAGAGTAGAAGATCAACATAAAAAATAAGCTGTATTTCTTTACACTAATAAAGAAAGCTCTGAGAAGGAAATGAGGAAAGCAATACCATTTACAATAGCCACCCCGAAGTTTAAATACTTAGGAATAAATTGAAGCAGAAAAACAAAAGGCCTATACAAAGAAAACTACAAAACACTACTACAAGAAACCAAAAGAGACTTGCATAAATGGAAGTCTATGTCATGTTCATGTATAGGAAAAATTTAACATTACGAAAACGTCAACACTACCCAAAGCAATCTACAGCTATAATGTAATCACAATCCAGATTCCAATGTCATTCTTTAAAAGATGGAAAAATTGAACCATATAGTGGTTACGAATCAGACTGCTAGTCTCAAGTTCTAAACTACCATCTGTCCTGCTGGAGATAGATGTGGCTTTCTGCTCCTGTAAAGATTTCCAGGCTCGGAAACCTTATACAGGGTCACTACGAGTCGGAAGTGACTCCACGGTACACAAACACCAACATTATATGGAAAGGAAAGAGATTTTGGATAAGCAAAGCTTTACTAAAGAAGAACTACAAAGTGGAAGGTCTTACATTTCCTGATTTCAAAGTCCCCTGCACAGCCATAGTCGTCAAAACAACCTGGTACTGGTCTAATGATAGATACGAGGGTGAGTCAAAAATTTTCCACACTCTGACTGTAGAATTTACTTTAGTCAACTTTTAGAAAAGGCAAGTAAATGTTTACAGAATTTCCTTCCTTTGTCCATCTGTCAACAAGCTTTCATATTCCCTTATTAAAATATGTTTTAGGATGAACTTTGAGCCATGAATTCAGTGCTGGCTTCACTTCTTTGTCAGAGGTGAATCCTTCATCCTCAAAGGGCTGGAAGGTGGAAACCTGGTGGAGAAAGATCAGGACTATAGGGAGGATGCTTTAGCACCTCTAAATGAAGTCTTTGTAGAGTGTCAAAAGTGTGGGCAGAGATGTGCGGACAGACGTGCATTGTCATGCAAGATCATAATGCCCTTGGATAGCAGTCCTCTGCATTTAATCTGAAAAATTGGCTTCAGCTCTTCATTGAGCATCTAACAGTAACCAGAATTGTTGATTATTGAACCTTTTTCCAGATAGTGTTCCAATGCAAGTCCTTGAGAATCCCAGAAAACTGTAAGCATCAATTTTCCAACCGATGGTTGATTTTTGAACTTTTTCTTGGTAGGCGATTGAGGAATTTTCCATCCCATACTCAGCCGTTTACTCACTGGTCTGAAAAGGGCTGGAGGAAGCCTAGAGGCTACTGACCTAAAACACTCTTCTAACTTCAAGCTAAAGACACTCCCAAAGGCCACTTTTCAGCCAACTAGTAGATAGGCCTACGGAAAAAGCAACAGCTCCTTGTAAGAATGTGTTCTGGATCGCAACTAACTAGATGAGAACAAAAAGTTAACATTTGCTTAACACCAAAGGTGAAAAGTCAGAGTGACAGAGAAATGGGATGAATGAAAGTGGGGAGCCCAGAGAGGAAAAGAAGAAAGTGCTGGCATATTGTATGGATTATGACCAATGCAATGGGAAAATGTGCATGTGAGTTACTATTGGAAAACTAATTTGCTGTGTAAAGTTTCACCCAAAGCACAATAAAATGTTTTTTAATTGTATAAAGCTTTTTTTTTTTTTTTTCTCTTTTTTTGCGGGGTGGGAAGACGTACACCAAAACACTCAGGGATATACAATAATTTAAACAACCAAAAGTCACATTCTGCAAGCCTGCCTCCTGGCCACCAGTACCCAGTCCCTCTCTTTCCATGAGTCTAGAGTCCTCAGCTGCTCCCTCTCTCCATGTCCTCATCTCTGTCTCCATCTCTGGTGTTGCTGCTTCTCTGAACAAGTTTCCTCATTCCACTCATTCTCTTCTTACTTGATGGTCCTAGGGTCCTCTGTTTCTGGACTGTAAGATTAATTACTCCTTTGTTTTTGTTACAAAACTTCCACATTTACAGTTGTGACAGTCGCAATTAGTCATGATAACAATTACTCACTATTGAATCATAAGAATGTTATCCCCACCTTTTTTCACCAGACCCGTCTAGACAAGGTGAAAACTATTTAAACGTATAAAGTTTTGAAAGGATTCTAAGTGTTGCTTGACATGGTAAAGGAAGAGATAAAGATTAATTGGGGGAGAATTTGATTATGATCCACAGTGGGTCACAACAATCAGCTTGGGAAATGCAAATTAGTTAATAATATTGCCATAGTATTTATGAGCCCTCAATTACTGACTGACCTGTACTATTCTACCTAATCCCTTCACAAAACCTGTTATAGGTAGTTGCTGTTGTTAGGCGTCATTGTGTTGATTCCAACCCATAGAGAGTTTATGTACAACAGAAAGAGCACTGACCAATCCTGTGCCAATCTCATAATTGCTTTTACATTCGAGCCCATTGCTGCTGCCACTGTGCCAATCCATCCCGATTGCGGTCTTTCCCTTTTTAACTGACCCTCCACTTTACCGAAGGATGAGAAATGAAATCTGGTCATTTTAGCTTCTAAGGAACATACTGGTTGTACTTTTTTCAACACAGATTGGCTTGTTCTTCTGGCCGTCCTTGTACTTTTAATATTCTCCACCAAAAATATAACTCAAATGCATCAATTCTTCCTCATTCATTGTTCAACTTTCACATGCATATGAAGCTATTGAAAATACCATGGCTTGGGTCAGGCGCACCTTAGTCCTCAAACTGACATCATTGTTCCTGAATACTTTAAAGAGATCTTGTGCAACAGAGTTTCCTAATGCAATAACATTGTTTGATTTCTAGACTGCTGCTTCCATGAGTGTTGATGGTGAGTCCAAGGAAAAGGAAGTCTTTGATGACTTCAATCTTTTATCTACTTACCATGATAGTATTTATTGGCCCAGTAGTAAGGATGTTTGTTTTCTTTACATTGAGATGCAA